TTCAGAGATTAATAAAACGAGATTTGAGCTGTGGTCCCGAAGTAGCCGAACTACAGCTGCTCTGATTTCTCGTACCAGACGAGAATATGTAGGCATAGGATGCGATATCCTAGCGAGCACACTAACAACTGACTTTCTGTTCTCTCGCTGCTGTGCGATCGAGACTTTCCCGCTGACGACTAGTTGTTACCCTTTTTTCTCTCTTGCTCGAGGGCATTTGAGACCAAGCCATAGTTTTGCCCATAGGTTCCCGACCCTGTGAAACCAGTTGTTTTTCTCACTGCTGTGTGAGAATGTTTTGTTTAGCCGTAGTTAGCCTGAACTACGTAAAGCTCTGATCTTCCGTGCAATGTGGAAGTACGTAGGCACAAGACGCGAGGTCTTGGCGAGCCAATTTTCCCTGTAGTCCCGAACTACGTTGACTCTGACTTTCTCTCTTGAGAATACGTAGGCATAGAGTGCGACGCTCTATCGAGTCAATTCCCTTCCGTTTAGATTTAGCAGCCGTAGATAGATTGTTTTGCATCCTTTAGACAACCCAAGCAAGCGTGGATCCCGTCGAGTACGGCGGACGTGAGGGGTGCTAATACCTTCCCCTTTGCGTAACCGACTCCCGAACCCAGGTTTTGGTTGCGATGACCATACCTTTCCCCGTTTTTTGCGAGGTTTACTTCGAGCGTTTCCTTTCCCGCTCTGAGGGATAAATAACGCACGGTGGCGACTCTTCTGTCAGCCGGCGCCGATTTTCGCAGTAGCGACAAAGGGCATGACACCAAATATTGGCTATTTTAAGGTGTGGGGGTGTGTGGCATATTACAAAAACATGGATCCTAAGAGAACCAAGTTGGGTCCTCGAGGGATAAGATGTGCCTTTGTAGGATATGCACAAAATAGCAAAGCATATAGACTTTTAAATTTAGAGTCTAATATTATTGTTGAATCCCGGGATGTAGAATTCTTTGAAAAACTTATCACTAAGGATAAAGAATCAGAGTCGGCCATAAATAAAGAATCTTGTGAAAAGGACTCTTCTCGGTTTGTAGAAATACAACCTGAAGGCACATCTCGAATCAATGAACCACGACCCGAACCTAGGATAAGCAAAAGAGTCCGGAAAATAAAGAACCTAGGACCAGACGAAATTGATTCTCAATCCATTTCATTTTATCTGGTTGAAGGAAATAGTACAAATTTTATTAAAAGCATTCCGGTAATTCTTCAAGTAGGGGAAGATCCTAAAACTTATAAGGAAGCAATAGCTTCAAGAGACTCCTCTTTTTGGAAAGATGCTATCCGAGATGAAATGGATTCAATTATGTCCAACCACACTTGGGAACTTGTTGATTTAACAAAGGGATCAAGACCCATTGGATGCAAGTGGGTGTTTAAAAAGAAATATCATAGTGATGGTACATTAAACACTTATAAAGCAAGATTAGTGGCAAAAGGATTTAGACAAAAGGAAGGTATATATTATTTTGACACTTATGCACCTGTAGCAAGAACAACCACTATAAGGTTGTTATTTGCTTTAGCATCTTTAAATGATCTGATTGTTCATCAAATGGATGTTAAAACAGCATTCCTAAACGGAGACCTCGATGAGGAAATCTACATGGAACAACCAGAAGGATACGTCCTTCCTGAAAATGAACAAAATGTGTGCAAACTTGTCAAATCTCTATATGGCTTAAAACAAGCACCAAAACAATGGCATCAAAAGTTTGATTCTACGATAATGTCAAATGGATTTATTCCTAATTCTTGTGACAAGTGTTTATATACAAAAGTGTATAATAACACTGTAATATTTTTGTGTCTTTATGTTGATGACATGCTAATAATTAGCAATAAACTTAAAAGGTTTCTAACTTCCACTTTCAAGATAAAAGATCTTGGACTTGTTGACACAATTTTAGGAATAAAAGTTAAGCAAAATAGTGCGGGTTATGAACTTAATCAAACACATTATATTGAGAAAATGCTTGATAAGTTCAAACACCTGAAATTCAAGGAAGTAACTACTCCATTTGATCATGTAATCAAACTTGAAAAGAATGATGGAAGAGCAGTGGCTCAATTAGAATATGCAAGTGCGATTGGATGTCTTATGTACTTAATGCAATGTACTAGACCCGATATATCATTTGTAGTTAGTAAAATGAGTAGATTTACTAGTAATCCAAGTAATGAACATTGGAAGGAAATCACGAGGATATTTGGTTATTTGTTGAAAACCAAAGATCTTGGTCTTCATTATGGTAGGTTTCCTGCTATATTAGAAGGATATACCGATGCAAGTTGGATCTCTAATGTGGGAGATCATAAATCTACAACTGGGTGGATATTTACACTAGCTGGAGGAGCAATTTCTTGGAAGAGCAAGAAACAAACATGCATTACTCTTTCGACCATGGAATCAAAGTTCGTGGCTCTCGCTTCCGCTAGTCAAGAGGCAGAGTGGTTGAGGGATCTTCTTTTGGAAGTTCCATTGGCTAAAGACAATGTTTCAAAGGTAATGATACACTGCGATAGTCAGGCCACTTTGGCAAGAGCATTTAGCGAAATGTATAATGGAAAGTCTAGGCATATAGGACTTAGACATTCGTTCGTGAGAAAACTGATTAAGGATGGAATCATTTCACTTACGTATATACGAACAAGCTATAATTTGGCGGATCCGTTTACTAAGCCACTGGCCAGAGACTTAGTAAAACCAACCTCGAGAGGTATGGGGTTGAAACTCCTTGAGTAAGAGTTCCGACAACGGCGGCAACCCAATCTTAAGTTAACAGAACATTAACTTTAAGATTTTCAATGGGTAATAACAAGTCGTTGATTTGGATAATTGTCTAACATTTCATAATTATGTTGACATTAGAAATGAGGGTTGAGTTTTATTTTAAACTCTTAATGAAGTTCAATACCAAGGGTACGTATCCATTGGAAACAGATACTATATGAACTTCACCTATGTGAATTCTGAGATGGTGCCGTCTCAAAGTGAGAGTTGGAGTTTCTCTCATAAAAAAATTCATGAAACAGGATAGCACATGGCCATAAATAAGTGCTAAGCGAGTTATGCAGAAGAAGAATTTTTAAGGAGTGTGTGTAAGGTAACACCAGTCTATTCATATGGATTCATGGTTTAAAAGCATTGCTACCTAATATTCCGATTAAACCTTGTGTCATCCTTACTAAGGTTAAGTTTAAAATCGAAAGATACTTAACTGTATTAATACTTCTTATGTCTCATTTCTGGAATTATTATTTTGTCATTATTAGAACAAGTGGGGGATTGTTGGAAATAATGAAGATTTATTTCCATTAAAGTTGTTCCAAAATGACAAAGTGGGTGATATAGTTAATTGACAATAAATGCTTAGTCCCACATTAGAAGTGGAGTAAAATTAAATAGCATTTATAAGGCCCTTGGAACAATGTAATTTCCAAAGGAGCCAAAGAGGATAAAGTGCCACATAGTCATATGTGGTGGTGCCAAAACTTATGGCACTTGTCTCATACAAAACACCCCTCGCCGGTGTCGCCATCGGCGACACCGGCTCTGGAACCGGAACCGGATCCGAGAGCGTGGGCGTAGAGGCGCTAGTGGCGGCTTGTAGGTGGTGCTCCGGCCTTCGGCCGGTATACTGCGAATTTATTTTAATTATCGCTCCAAATTTCATTTGTTGCCTAGAGTTTGATTTTTGAATTTGAATTCGAAATATATGACACTTCATGAAGTGGTCAATGACATTTTATTTGAACCATTGCAAATGCTCATTAGAGAGTGTGTTTATGAAGAATTGCAAACTTCTGAAAAGACACATGCATGACTATAAATATATGCTTGATACTTCGAAATCAAATACTCCAAAATCTGATATCCTCTTCTATATAATTCCAAACGTTTTCCTTGCATTCGAAACTTCACCAGTCTTGTGCAGTTTCGAGGAAAAGGCTGACTTATCCTAGGTATTCAGGCCGTTCCAACTCTAAGACAATTTGAGAGTGTGCTTGAAATACTTTTAAGGAAAGTGATTTCGTTCACGATTCAGTCTGGATCCATTCGACATTGAAGGATTATCTAGCAGATATGACAACAGAATGGGTTAGAGATAGCTTTTACCTTCCAAACTTAAATTCCTAAACAATCCATGTTTTCAGTCCCACACTCAAACAAAGATGAATAATTAAAATTCAAACTCGTTGCAAACAGGTTTGGGTATTCCTGCCACCCTTTATTTAGAAAAATCAATTTTTAAATAAAAATAAGGGGTGTTCACGGGTTAGATTGAGTATAATTTGATTAAATCTAATATTTGACCCGATCAATAATTTTTGAGTTGGGTTGAGTATTCAACCCGTACTTATAAACTAAACCCGAATCAAATAGCTCGTCAATGGACTGGATTCGTGGATCATCAATTAAATATAATTTTTAAATTCTAAATAAAATAAAATTTTAATTAACACGTTTATTTTATAAAAACATCAAAAAAAAATATTTAGTATTTAATTTAAATAAAATTTATTAGTTAATCCTTAAAACCTATTTTTAGATTTAGAGGGTAAAATACTATCTCCGTCGCAAATTGTAACCCGTTTTAGATATCTTAGACAAATTTTTCCATTAATGAACCTTATCTAAATGCAGTTTAAACATATTTTCCCAGTCGGATTCGGGTGAGTAGTCATAAATATAAGTTATACTACCGTGCCTAATGTCCATTCCATAGAGCTTCCTACCTAAAACAATCATGGAATAAAATAACATTCTAAATACTTCCAACAAAGTTAAATATAGATCACAAAAAATTACCCCTAAAAATTAAAAATATGAACAAAAAGCCAAAATAGTATCTTCTAGAATCGGTCCCACACGCTTAAGCGACTCATCAGACTGATTATCAGGTGCACCTTCGCGTGAGATTCCCTATAACCATTAACTATCTAATCAAACCATTAAAACTTTTCTTTGCATACTAAACCGCCAGCTGTCATTTACATAAACTCTCGTTCGCTCTATTACACCGGTTCAACCACGGCGGTTGATCATTATCGGGACTATCCTGACAATCCAACGGCTCTGATTTCACGTCCGTAGAACCCGGTTGATGTAGCCGCAGCAGTGTATCATCTCTTCCACTTTCACAACCGTTTTCTCTCGTTCGCTTCGTTCCAATAGCAACACCAAACAGCTTCGGATTCATCTTTTCCATGCCGGAGCTTCGTTTCACCGCTGGCATCAAATCCAACGGCCTCACCGCAGTCATACCTGACTCTCTGCTTCCTTGCGCGCCACCGTCCGTTTGAATATTATTGTCACCACTATTACTGTTGTTGTTGTTTGCATAACTTGACATGAGAGTATATATATTGTTGCAGAGCAATCTCATCTCAGCAAGCTCCTTGTTCAACAGAACATTCTCTTTCATCAATCTCTCGTTCTCGTCCAGAATCTCCCATGGTGCTCGCGACGGAGACGAACTCGATGATATCACATGCTCTTCACCGGAGTTCGACGGTGAAACCATCGGCATCGCTATAGGTACTACAGTCAGCGGCATAGGTGAAGGAACCGCAACCGTTGCGGTTTCCACCGCCGCAACAGCAGCAACAGACGTTGACATCGGTACAGCAGAACAGATTTTCCTGCGTTGAATCTCGCATAGAAGCCGCTTCTCACCTCTTCGGAAACAATCGTTTGAGAATTCCCACCGATCAGGTACTACTTTTCTAAATCCCTGCAAATTGATAAAAACCGAAACAAAATTAATTTAAGAATAAGGAAAATTAATAAGAGTTATTAAGTAATGAAAAATAATCAGAGAATGAATTGAATTGAATTACATAAGTATTGAGTTGACGAACGAAGCTTGAGAAATTATTGTGTTTGAAATATTTTGGAAGCAAATTACTAGCGAAAACGGTAGGGTTCCAAACGATGAAGGTGGATCCATCTTCGTTCCATGATATAACGTCGTCGATGGATTTATCCTCAACTAGGCTATAGGTTTTGGTTAGAAACGGCGTCGGAATAGATCTCTGAGACTCTATAGCGGGGGATGTAATTGAAACTTTCGTGGAGGATTCGTCGTTTTCCACCGGTGGCGGAGGCGGAACCATGACGAAAAATATCGCCGGCGAATGTTGTTGTGTTGAGAGAGTAAGAGATAGGGGTTATTATCGTGGTGATTCTAGAAGGTTCGGTTGAGAATAAAAGGATGAGGAAAGAGAGACAGAAAGTGAGAGAAAAATAAAGAAAGGAAGGAACGAGAAGGTACTGCGTTAGTTACGTCTAATTGTCGAGAAAGTTCCGTGAGAATGAGAATTTTCTGTTTGATTAATGATAATTGAGTTTTGATGATGATGCGGATTGAACGGGAGTACTGACACCGTGAATGTAAAGATAGAGATAGATAACTTTCACGGCTCTTCGCAATCCAAGAAACTTCTACACTTTTTATTATTATGAACCCAAAAATAAAATTAAAGAAAAAAAGAAAAAGAAGAAGATGGTTCTAGTTGTTTTTTAAAAGGAATAAAAAGAGATAAGGTAGAGAAGCTGAGTTGTCAACTCTTGTTTTGACATAAAACAGAGATGAGATACACTGCTTGATAATGTACTGCAGCTGAATAGTCAAGTTTATGTTTTAGTATTATTAAAAAAATATAAATATTAAGGACATCAATTTTTTACCCTACATCACTTTTCATTAAGATAAAATTAAATTTAAGGATATGAAAATATTCACTTTTTTAAAGGCTTATTTCTGTATGCACTCATTTTCTCTATAACTTTTAAAATAATAGCATACATTTTTGGATCGTTATTCAATAAAAAATAAAATTTTTTATTACTCATATAAATATTGTTATTAATTGATGAGATTAATTGTTATATACCGTGTAAAAATGTATTTACACTATCATCTAATAAAAATATATTATTTTATCGTGTTATATAATAAATTTAATTTTTAGTATGACTTGACAGAATGTATAGTTGTCGTTGGTTGACAATGTAAAAAAAATTTACATTGTCAATACATCATCTTTTTTTTCTTAATTGATTAATAGTATAAAATTATTTTATATATATATATATATATATATATATATATATATATATATATATATATATATATATATATATATATATATATATATATATATATATATATATATATTTTAAATAATAATTTTTTATACATAATGCCTTCATAAGACTTTCTCTTTTCCCTTTTTTCTTTTATACTTTTTATATATATTATTTATTCATTTTATTATTTTTATTATATATAGTACTAATTTATTTTTCCCCCTGCCCTCCTTCCACTGGTTTGTGATCCCTTTTTTGGTGCTAGATTTTTTTCAGTTATCTCCTTGCTATCTCCTCTAGCCTACCTTTCTTATTTTTTCTCACTTAAACATCCTCCTTCAGTCATTAGCACCTTCATCATCCTTCCCTTCCTATTGGTTTTTCCATTCTAAATCTATGAGTTGAACCATGGGTCACATTGGAATAAGCACATATCCCAACCGCAATCCTGATATTGCTAGTAAACTTTACTGGATTGAAATCCACGATCAAACCTGCAACAAAATCAAGGAAAATCCTTACAACAATCAAACACAAAACGAAATGAACCTTGATCAGAACAGCTCCAAGAAGATGAACAAATCAAGCCCAAACCATAAAGAGTCCCTAACACCCTCAAACAATATCTATCCTAACCAGAACGAAATTTAGAAAGAAGGCCACTGCACTGCTTTCAATACAATATGCTACATTGAAAACATCAAGATCCCACCCAAACCACCCATAACTCACGGTGACAAAACAAACATCAGAAGTGCTCCCACAGGGAAAGTAGCTCCAAATTTCTTTGTATTCGATGAAGACGAAATCCAAGAAACAGAAGGTGCAACTACTATCTGCATAGAATATGGGAAGTAACTCCAAATTTCTTTGCAACTACTATCAAATATATGGTGTAACCCATAGAATATGGAAGTCAATAAAATTGACCACACCATCTACAATATTACTATGAACAGAACTAGAGATCATAATTGCATCCTTGGATCTTTAGAAACTAATGTCTTATTATCCAAGAATGGGATGTCACCCCTACTATTGAGTCACTTGAATTCTCCAAAGCCCCTGTTTGGTTTCAAATATGGGATCAACCCATTCACCGCAAAACTTTGCAGATGAGACTCAAATTAGGGGGCAAACTAGGTGATGTTTTGGAGGCGGGTATATTTGATATGCTAGACATAAATGTTATAGTCAAAGTCAAAATTAGTATAAGTATTAAACCCCCATCATGTCCGGCATGTACATAGGTAGCAAAAACAGTGGAGTCAATTAGATTGATTTTCGCTATGAAAAACTACATATGTTCTATTTTTATTGTGGATTCATGAGGCATAGCGAGGAACACTGCATCAAAACTACCCTCGTGGAATCACTGAAATCAACCTCTTGGCCCTTGGATGAGAGCCAATCAATCTGGTAGAAAACAAATCCCTTAGAATGACATAACATTCATCTGGAATTCCACTGTAAGACCTAACATCAGTCTACATAGTCCCATCCCTAAGGTTATGCTAGCCCAAATGGCCTCCTTACACATGCAGGAAGAAAAAGCCAGCAAACCAGCAGATATGCCAAAAGATATGGTGATTAGTTAAAGAAAAAAACGAAGGATGATGGAAATCACTGGCAGCACTAGTGAACAAGACCAGGAAACAATATATATAATGGATAGCCTCATTGTCAAGGCTATCAAGGAAGTATGAGAATCATATCTTGGAATTGCAGGGGGTTGGGAAACCCCCAAACCTTCAGGGCTCTCAAACTTTTGATCAAGACTCGCTCTCGTAACATTATGTTATGTACAGAGACAAAGAAGAAGTATTCAGATAAAGTGTTCAAAGCTTAATATCATTGATGCTAATAAAAACATAATTAATTTTAGTATTATGTCTATAAATTCTAACAATAACTGTTTTATGTGAAGAGGTGGTTTATACGGGGTATCCTAAAAATAACCAAAAAAAAAACTCTTCAGTGCTGTTTGATCAACAAACTGACACAAAGAAATAATAACCCTAACTGGATCCTTTATAGAGACTTTAACCTTATCACCTCCAATAGTGAAAAAAAAGGGGCAACCCCTTAGATGTTAAATTGCTTAATCTCATTAGTAATACTTTTTCTGACTGTCAGCTTTTTAATCTAGGTTACAAAGGCAATAAGGAGATTTGGTGCAATATCCAGCAAGGAAACAACTTTATAGCCACAAGTTTAGATCGCTTTTTGGCTATTAAGGGTTGGACCCACCATTTCCCCTTTTCCGCTAACTACCATCTCCTTAATGTCAAATCTGATCATAACCGTATCTTACTGAAGTAGAAGACGCACTACTAAAACTACTCTGTTTTCTTGCAAAGTTAACTAAATTTATGTTTTCTGCGATTTTTCCTTATAATCGGTAGGAAGATCTGCAGATGAATCCGCAGGTAAGTCTGCAACAAATTTTGAATCTACAAATCCTGACCTCTATCTCAAATTTATTATTTTTTAATTTAAAATATTAAATTTATATTACGGTTATTATAATAATAAATTTAATTTAAAATGTTTAGAATTTAAATAAGACAAATTTACTGAACTAAATTGCTACAAATTAGTAACAAATACTTATACAATCACATTATTGAAAATGACTCTCATGACCAATCTACTAATAATTATTTGTCAAACCAAATTAAAAAGATAAAACAATCTGAATTACAAGCAAACTAAGAAGAAAAAAAATACAAAATCTAAGTTTACTACTAAAATCTTCATCCGATTCATCGATAACATCAACATGAATGTGCCGTTAGAGCTCAAAATAAACTGACATTCTTTTTCAGTTTCACTACTGCAACTGCTTCAATTAAATCACTGGAAAACAATTTTACAGAATTTAAAGTTGCTACAAAATCCAACATTTGATCCATTGTCAAGTCTCTACTTTAGAGCAACACAATCTTTGTCCTAACAGTTGCCAGTGGTGACTTGTTAGCGATTCCTGATTATGACCCCTAATTAGTATTAATATGATATCTCACATGAATGAATCATCTAATTAATACTAGATATGGCAATTTGATCGATTAAAACAAAATCAAATCAATTTATTAAGTTAAAAAATTAGATTAAATCCATCAATTTAAATGTATGGATTAACTCAATCCAACATATTTTAAAGATCCAATTGATTACCGTTACATTTATTTTTAAAAAAAATTAAAAATTGATTTTTGTTTTATAAAAAAAATGACTTTTATTTAAACAAAAACTGATTTTGTTTCCAAAATAAAACTAAATACTTTTCCAAAAAAAAAATCGATTTTTTTTAAAAAAAAATTGATTTTTAAAAAAACCAATTTTTTGGAAAATACAAAAAGTCAATTTTTTTAAAAAAAATCAATTTTTTAGAAAACACAAAAAGTCAATTTTTTCTAAAAAGTTGAATTTTTTCTCAAAAATACAAAAAGTTTATTTTTTTCGAAAACAAAAAATTCAATTTTTTCAGGAATATATTAAAAAATACTTTTTCTTTTAAAATACAAAAAATGAATTTTTTGAAAATAAAAATTCTGGACTGGGCCCAGGCCTGCCCATCTGTCGGGCAGGCCCAACCCAACGCTTTTTGAGGAAGGTCCAAATTGTCCAGTGTCGGGCATAGGCTCTCCCGTCGACCAGACAGCTCCCTCGTCGAGCAAGACAATTTCTCCGTCGGACAAAACAACACGTACTCCACACGTTCTCCACGTGCTCCCTTCGCGGGACACGTCATCAGTCAACTACCCACCTCCGAAATAGCTGGTCAGCCCACCTTTCGGAGATCACAGGACGGTTGAACTAGGGCGAAGACCACGTATTGGTCTTCACTACGCCACGTAAGCCCTAGTAATTACCTGGGTTGGGCCTGACAATCTAACCCAACACAAGTGACCGCTGGCCCTGCGCTGGGGTCTCTCTATAAATACCCTATTTTACTAGAGGGTCAGGTATTCACTTTTTAACCTCTCTTCTGTATTTGCTCCCACTCTGGTCCATTACT